GATACCGGTATCGGAATCGGGACACCCCTAGTTTAAACAATAAAAACTCAAACTAAAAAAAAAATCTGACACCGTCTTCAGATGCTCCTTACATCCATAAAACACAACAAAGTCATATTTCTGTGGATTCAGGTCAGATTTGTGACTTTGTGAGTTAAAACTGTCGGCTGAAAAACTTTGCGTGGCTGCTGCACATTCTCACGGCAGGTGAAAAGTGTGCGTAAATATACGCACACTTGCACACTTCCAACGCAACGTTGGTTTTGATACATCACATCGTGGGCGTAGAACCTGGCACACGTAACTTTTTTGTGCGTACGCACCGTTTACACATGAGGCCCCAGATGTACTGTATATCAGTGCATTAAAAAAATTTCCTTTTTCAGTCTCAACTTCATTTAAATATCTTGGGATTAATATTACACAAGAGTATAATGGCCTCTTTAAACATAACTTTTTAAAACTATACAATAAAACAAAACAGGACATAGATACATGGATAAACCTACCAATTTCTTTAGCAGGCTGAATAAATTCTGTTAGGATGAATGTTATTTTTGAACAGGGCCTTTTTATTACATTTTTAACACAAAAAAAAACGCCTCTAAATTATCTGGTGAATTAATTATCTGCTGTGTGCAATGTTTGCTTGCTCTTTAGGAAATAAAAAAAAGCTGTTTTCTTTATTTTATCTTTATTTCACCCATCATTAAAGACAAACCAGAAAAAAACCAAGACCTTCCTCCCGCGCCTCTAGTCTGGTCCCGGTCTTGGGAAAAAAAAGAGTCTGTCAGCTCGCAGGTCAGAGCGCCTCTTATCTGCTGTGCGCAATGTTCGCTTGCTCTTTAGTAAATAAAGCAATGCCATTTTATTTATTTTATCTTTATTTCAACCGTCAACAGACCGGAAAACGAACAAAGACACTCCTCCCATTGCGCGTCTTCAGACGCGTTCGGTGTGAACGAACGTCTGTTGACAAGCAGCCAAAACCGTTGGTCAGGAGCGTTTTTTGCTGCGTTTGGTGGGAACCCGGCAAGAGAATCAGACACAGTAGCAGGAATTTTGGCATGAATTTTATTCCTTATTAAATTGTTGTTGTTGTTGTTATTTTATTGTGGATTTATTTACCATATTTTAAAGACCAATTATAATCTGGATTCTAAAGGATTAATGCTCCTGACAGTGTGTGTCTGATCTGCGGAGTCTGTGTGTGACAGAGAGGAGCTCAGCTCTGTTTGAGTCCAGCATGACCTGTGGACTAACAGCAGCTCATTCTGCCTGGATTTATGGTGTTTTGAGTTCACAAATTACACGTTAATTTTTTTAAATTTGAGGACATTAAATTTGCTCCTAGCTGCTCTGCTGATCAGCGCTATTTATAGAACTTGAACAGACTCGCAGGAACCTGGTCACACGCGGGGGTCTGTGTTTGTGATTCTTGCATTAATATATAAATAATTATTGATAAAGTAAACATGCTATGGCTTCACTTGTCACATTTTATTTTAAAGAAAGAAAAAGTAGATTGCAAAGCTGTCGCATCACTGCTGCGTGATTTAAAAAAAAAAGCAGTTTTCATCATGTGTCTAATCACACACACACACACACACACACACACACACACAC